CTGCGGCACCGACCCCTATATATATCTATATTTTTTTAAGATTTATTTATTTAAAAGAGTGACTGGTAGGGGGCAGAGAGAGAGAGAGCAAGAATGAGAAAGAGGCCGGCACTGTGGCTCAATAGGCTAATCCTCCACAGGGCTGGTCCACTCTAGGCTTCCTATATGAGTATCAGGGGCCAAGGTAGTTGAGCCATCATCTGCTACCTGCCCAGGCACATTGGCAGGCCATGGCTTAACCTGCTATACCACAGCACCCACCCTAGGGCATCACATTTCGTATGTTTAATTTTTAGGTAAAAATTAATATGAAAGGAAATTGCATTGTGTAATTTTAATGATTAATTGCAATTATGGTGTTTTAGTTTCGCTCTGTTACCTTTGTTCTCATGAAGCTTCTAAGAAAATTATAAGGAAATTGAATTTCTGACATTGAACTTGTCACTGCTATTTTTGTTTCTTTGTTTTTAAGGAATTTGTTAATATATTAGATTCTCAAGGTCACAGTAAATGCATGATAATTATTACAACACAATGCTCATATTAATGTGATAGTCACACAAAGAGAATAGCTTTAATGTAGTTCATAGATACAGTTCTAATCCCATGATACCTTCCTCCCTCTCTTTCCACTCCCTCCTTTTTTCTCTGCCTCCACCTTCCCCTTTCCTTCCTCTTGTCTTTTTTCTTTTCTCTTCTTCCATTTCTTGATTTTTGAGATCCTATTTTTAATTTAGATTATAGTCAAAGACTTACTGCCACACTAAGTAAATACAAAGTAAGAAGACTGTACTGTAGTTCAGTGGGAATATAGGCAAGGGCTACAGACTAATCAAATGAAAAGATGTTGAATTCACCCATATACAGTAAATTTTGAAATAATCATGGATCATTAAAACTAAAGTAGTTTATCTCTATGTATTAACTACTACAAATAAGAGAAAACAGGATACTTTTCTTTTCGAGTCAGGTTTATTGCACTTAACATAATGATCTCCTATTGCATGCATTTTGTTGCAGATACCAGGATTTTACCTTTAATGGCTAATACTCCATCCTGTGTGTGTGTGTGCATGCACACACATGCGCACCACATTTTCTTTATCCAGTCATCAGTTGATGGCATCTGGGTTGGTTCTGCATGTTAGCTGTTGTGAATTGAGCTGCTATAGACATGGGAGTGCAGGTAACTCTTTCATATGCTGCTTTCATTTCCTTTGGATAGGTTTCCAGGAGTGGGGTAGCTGGGTCATAAGGAAAATCTATTTTTAGTTTTCTGAGGCCTCTCCCTACTGTTTCCCATGATCGTTCTACCAGTTCACATTCTCATCAACAGAGTAGATTTGTTTCTTAAGTGTATCAATTTGAATTTTTGAAATGCAGTTGTGTACAAATGCATTGACATTGAGTTTTTTAATTATTGTAAATAATGCTTGGTTGAATAGCATTATATAATTTTTTCTCTTCTAGAATTTTGATAAGATGAATTCCTAGGACTAAAATTTTGGGCTGAAAATGCATGAACATATTAATTTTTTATTCCACTGCTTCAAAGAAATTGCTCTAATTACTTGCATTGGTGGTTTTTTTTTTTTTTTTTAAGATTTATTTATTTATTTTGAAAGTCAGAGAAGGAGAAATAGAGATCAGTCTTCTGCCTGCTGGTTCACTCTCAGATGGCCACGATGACCACGGGCTAGCCAGGCTGAATCCAGGAGCTTCATCTAGGTCTCCTATGTGGTGGCAGCCATCGTCTGCTGCTTTCCCAGGCTGATAATAGGGAGCTGGACCAGAAATGGAGCAGCCAGAACAGGAACCAGCACCCGTATGGGATGCTGGCTAAGCAGGCAGTGGCTTTACCCACTGTACTGCAGCACCGGCCCCACCTCACTGAATTTTTATACCAGTAGTGCCTAACTCTTCTGGAGTGCTTTGTAAGATGATTAAATGTGTTTGGTATGCTATTCCTGGTGATGATAGCATGAATTATTTTGGAGAAGAATATTCAACTGTGATTGTGAAATGAGATTAATCAGTGAGAAATTGTTGGTTTAACTTTAAATCCTTAAAGATGTATTAAAAATTGTTCCTTACTGGGAATACTATTGAGAATGTGGGCAATTACGCTGAACAATTATGCCTACAGTTTGATAATCTTGTTCTGTGAACTCGAGGAACTTAATCTACACATTTCAGGTTTCCTGTTTTCGGGTTCAAATCCAAGACAGCTACAGTAACCATCTTTAGAAATTGAGGGGAGAATAAGTAGGAACTAATAAATTTAGTTTTGAAAACAGCTGTTGTGATGTTGATAGTCATTATGAATGATTGTGCCATTTATAGCACTAGGAAAAGTAAATATTTTAAAATACGTTTGTCTTTGGTAGCTAAAGCACGTTTCTGTCTGAGGACTTGTAGTGTGGGTTACAGTATCACAGGGACCTCTGTTGTGCTTTAGCACTGTTAAATACTGTTGACATAAAGTTCTTTTGTAAATAGAAGGTTTTCTTTAAGGTATTCTTTGCTTTTTTTTTAATACGTAAAGAATTCTAAGATGACCTTAATTTTCAAGGAATATTTAACTGAAAGTCTTATTAAAAACATGTGGAGAAAATTTTATTCTTTATGATTGTAGTTTATAATTGTATTAATGTTATTTTTGATTTTCAGTAAATATTGTGAATAAAATTTATGTATTTGATATGTACAGTAGTTAATGGATCCCCTAGCATGTACAATATTTTTCTTAGCACTAGGGGGCGCTCTTGATTTATGAATTCATGTCATATTTTATGCTTAGAATAGGGAGTAAAATGAAATTATTCAAAAACATTTTGTTGCAAGGAGTGTTACCTTCAGAGAGAATCCAGACTGGTTTTGGGTGTCATTGTTAATGAGTTGATCATATTTCAAAGTTGTTGTGGATAATGAAGCATATGGAATAACATAGTGTAGATTGGAGGAAATTAGAATATTTCTGTGCTTTATTCATTTCCAAAGTGGTTTTCTAAGTGGCTTCTTGACGATTTCAAAACTTCATTATTTTTAGGCCGGCGCCGCGGCTCACAAGGCTAATCCTCCGCCTGCGGCACCAGCACACCGGGTTCTAGTCCCTTTCTGGGCGCCGGATGCTGTCCCGGTTGCTCCTCTTCCAGGCCAGCTCTCTGCTGTGGCCCAGGAGTGCAGTGGAGGATGGCCCAAGTGCTTGGGCCCTGCACCCCATGGGAGACTAGGAGAAGCACCTGCCTCCTGGCTTAGATCAGCGCAGCGCCGGCCGTAGCGGCCATTTGAAGGGTGAACCAACGGAAGGAAGACCTTTCTCTCTGTCTGTCTGTCTGTCTGTCTCTGTCTAAATCTGCCTGTCAAAAAATAAAAAAAAATAAAAACTTCATTATTTTAATGTTTCTTATTTTTAAATTCTGTTATGATATTCTGCTCTTAGAGGGTGCTTAGGCTATATCTGAAGAAATGCAGACAAATATAAATTGTGACTGAAGGTTGCTATCATTAGTAATACTTTCTAAGCATTTGAAACGCAGACCATTAATTATTGTCATTCATTGAGTTTGCAGTTAAGATTTTAGTCAGACTCACCAGCATGTGCTTTAGGTCTGGGTCTAGAGTTTTGACTTGGACTTTATTTGGCAGGCTCCATTGCACGGAAGCATGATTGGATTAAGTAGGTAGATATGGAAGCTGTGCCACCCTAATAGCACCCTTGGCACGTGCCAGCACTCTCTGGGTTCTGTGTGACTCGGCTCCTCCCTCAGCTCTGTGGAACAGGTGCTTCCTGGGTGAGGTGCCTGAGCACTGAGAAGTTACCATTTGCTGGCTTCAGGTAGAGGCCGTCTTTACCCAATAAACCACTGTCCTAGGTTGCTTCTCCACAGAAAGGAGACAGCCTTGAAGGAATTACTGACATTTCAAACTCAGTTTTTAAAATGCAATGTAGTGTAGACTGGCTAATTTAGAGACACCCATCATTTCTTTTATGAAGAACATTATAGAAATTTAAAGTTGAAAAAGGATCTTTCATTTTTATGAAAGAAATTCTGTCCTAGAGAGGCAAAGTTACTGCTCACTGCTATATGATAGGTTATTTGTGGAAAGATACTAGAACCTCACATAAAAATCCAACTTCCAGTAAAGTGGAAAGAAATATTGGAAACATTATTTTACTAGATTTCACTTATTTTTAAATGAAATTTTTCTTTTGAAATATTTTAAATTTATAAAGCAAAAATTGAGGAGTACAGAGTTTCTGTATGCCCCACTCCCAGCTTCCCCTGTTATTAATATCTTATTAGCATGATATCCTCTTGACTGGAATTTTAAATGGCTGAGTCTTCTTGTTGGTGCCTCATTACCAATTTGTATCCTTAGAGCTCTCTTTATATTCCAAGGGTATAATAATATTATAATAATATCTTGCCTAATTAGTGCCGTTAGTAGTTGTGAAAATTGATGAGATAATGATAATGGATTGAAGATACTCCATATACTTTAAAGCCCTATACAAATAAACATACCTTTATTTTGGTATTTTTAATCACGTGTTCCAAAATATTTTTAAGTATTTGTGATATCTTGTTAAATTAAATCGCTAGCAGTGGTAAGCCTGTTGTTGATTTTGGAATGTCATTTGGATCTCTAAAAACTTATTGTATTATGGCAGGTGTTATTTTACCATTTTTTAATGCTTTATTTGCTTAAAACTGACAAAAGCTAGGCAATTTGGTGTTTGTTTTTCACAATACCCACTTAATGAGGTAAGAAGTTACACTTTTACTTTGCTTATTAGCAACATAGCAGGACTGCCTGGTGGGTGTCTCTCATTTGAGAGAAGCATGTGGGGTTGTCCTTAACCTGGATTAAGTGGTTTAGCTAAAATTAAAAAATAGAGCATAGAGAATTTGAAGTATTTTATTTCTTAGCCTGGTGGTAGGCTTGGATTTGTTAAACTTTTGACTTTTCTGTTTGTGTCTTGATGTATTCTACAGACGTGATGCATCTGTGGCCTTGGACATGAAGCAGTCCACCGTGTGTTGCTGTTGCCACAGGGCCAGGGACTGACGAGGGAAGCATGGCCCTCATGAATGGGCAGGCAAGCAGCGTCAGCCTTGCAGCCACGGCTTCCGAGGTAAGACGTTCAACAAGTTCAGTTGTACAGTTTCTGCCTGCCTTTCTGAATTTTTAAGCATTAGGCCTACACATTTAAAAATTTTTTTAATTAATTTTGCTGTTTACTTTGTGTCTTAGAAACAATCCTTATTACTTAAGTACATGAAAAATAATGATAGATGATGACTTGAAACCTTTTCTAGGTTTTAGTTTGAAGGAAATATAAAACTTGTCTTTAGGGTATATTTTTTTAAAGATTTATTTATGTATTTGAGAGGCAGAGCCACAGACAGAAAGAGGGAGCAACAGAGAGAAACTTGTCCTGCATCTGCTGATCATCCACTCTTCAAATGGCCGCAGTGGCTGCAGCCAGGCTAATCTGAAGCCAGGAGCTTCTTCCAGGTCTCCCAAACAGGTGCAGGGGCCCAAACACTTGGGGCATCCCACTGGTTTTCAGGCCACTAGCAGAGAGCTGGATCAGAGGAGGAGCAGCTGGGACACTAACTGGCACTCATATGGGATGCTGGCACCTCAGGCAGAGACTTAGCCCACTATACCACAGCACCAGCCCCAGGGTTTTGTTTTGTTTTGTTTTTTTAAAGATTTTTATTTATTTGAGAGGCAGAGTTACAGAGAGATCTTCCATCAGCTGGTTCACTCCCCATTTGGTACAGTGGCTGGAGAAGCCAAGAGCTTCTTATGGGTCTCTCATGTAGATGCAGGGGCCCAAGCACTTGGGCCATCTTCCACTGCTTTCCCAGGCCAGAGCAGAGAGCTGGATTGGAAGTGGAGCAGCCGGAACTCAAAGCTGTGCCCGTATGGGATTCCGGCACTGCAGGCAGAGGGTTAGCCTATTACACCACAGTGCTGGCCCCCAGGGTATTTTTATATTACATGGATTTCGGGGGAATATTGTACAAGTGAGGCAAAGAAAGATTCTTTTACTTAGAATCACTGAACTGTGCACGCCATCTGGGTCCCTGGGTTTGAAGCCTGTTGGATGAAGTCAGAGAACTATGAGGCTACAATGCCGAAGGGCTTACTCTGCTGGAGTAGCATAGAGTTCACAGTGCAGATGAAGTCTGAATGAGGCGCTTGTTAATTCCCTTGTTGCTCTATGGTGATTTCATTTTGTTATGTTCTCTATTTTTATTTATTTATATGTTTATTTGAAAGGCAGAGTTACAGAGAGGCAGAGGCAGAGAGAGATCCTCCATCCTGGCTCACTTCTTAAATGACTGCAATAGCCAGAGCTGGGCCTATCAGGAGCCAGGAGCCAGGAGCTTTCTTCAAGTCTCCTTCACAGGTCAGGGACCCAAACACTCAGGCCATCCTCTGCTGCTTTCCCAGGCCACAGCAGAGAGCTGGATCGGAAGTGGAGCAGCCAGGTCTTGAACTGGTGCCCACATGGGCTGCCGGTGCTGCAGAGGGCAGCTTTACCTGCTACGCCATGGCATCGGCTCCTGTGATTTTATTTTTGTCTCACCTTTTTTTTTTTTTTTTTTTTTATGCTTTGTCTATGAATCTAGGGTACTTGCTTGCTTTCTTTAATAATTTCAGGATCTGGCTCCTGTATTTCTCCTTTGTTTTATTCTGACTATTGGAAGAGAATAAGGTCTATGTCCCTTTGACACCTTAATCTCAAAGTTCCTTAACTCCTGGGGTTGGCGTTGTATGGAGTGGGGTTGAGCTGGCACTTGCGATGCCATGCCAAGTCCCCGCTACTCCACTGCTGATACAGCTCCCTGCTAGTGGCCTGGGAAAGCGGCGGAAGATGGCTGAAGTGTTAGGGCCCCTGCCACCCATGTGGGAGATGCTGATGAATCCCCTGGCTCCTGGCTTTGGCCTGGCCCAGTCCTGGCTGTTGTGGTCATTTGGGGAGTGAACCAGCAGATGAAGGATGTCTCTCTCTCTCTCTCTCTCTCTCTCTTTCTCTCTTCTCCCCAACTTCTCCCTCCCCCCCCCCCATTGCTCCCTCTCCCCCCTTTCTCTTTACTCCTGGCTTTCAAATAAATAAAGTTTTTTCTTTTTTTTTTTTTTTTTTTTTTTTTTTTGACAGGCAGAGTGGACAGTGAGAGAGAGAGACAGAGAGAAAGGTCTTCCTTTGCCGTTGGTTCACCCTCCAATGGCCGCCGCGGCCAGCGCGTTGTGGCCGGCGCACCGTGCTGATCCGATGGCAGGAGCCAGGAGCCAGGTGCTTTTCTTGGTCTCCCATGGGGTGCAGGGCCCAAGCACCTGGGCCATCCTCCACTGCACTCCCTGGCCACAGCAGAGGGCTGGCCTGGAAGAGGCAACCGGGACAGAATCCGGCGCCCCGACCGGGACTAGAACCCGGTGTGCCGGCGCCGCTAGGCGGAGGATTAGCCTAGTGAGCCGCGGCGCCGGCCCAAGTTTTTTCTTTTGAAGTTCCTTAATTCCTTTTAGGCTCAGCCAGTTACTTAGGCCTTCATGTAGTGAAAAACATGGCAATATGTCATTTCAGTTACTTTTCTTGTACAGGTGATTTCTAAATTTTTATATCTGTCCCTGGCTTCCCTCATAAGTTTTTTTTTTTTTTTAATTTATTTGTTTATTTGAAAGAGTTACACAGAGAAGGAGAGGCAGAGAGAGAGGTAGGGAGAGAGGGGTCTTCCATCCTCTGGTTCACTCCCCAACTGGCTGCAACGGCTGGAGTTGCACCAATCCAAAGCCAGAAGCCAGGAGCTTCCTCCGCGTCTCCCACGTGGGTCCAGGGGCCCAAGGACTTGGGCCTTCTTCCACTGCTTTCCCAGGCCATAGCAGAGAGGGGGATTGGAAATGGAGCAGCCGGGACTCAAACCGGCACCCCCATGGGCAGCTTAACCTGCTACACCACAGTGCCGCCCCCCCCCCAAGTTTTTTTAAACATTTCTGATGGACCACACATTTCACTTACAATGTCAAGAAAATCAAGTTCCACATTACAGTTTTTCTCTACAACCTATCAAGAACATAGTCCAACCCTTTTTGTAGCCATCTAAGTGTGAATCTGTAGACAGGCTGCTACTTCACTGCCCTTTGCCCACTGCAGAGAGAGTGCTAGCGAGACAGACGTTTTGAGCTTCTGCAGTGTGACTGTGGAGGTAACAGCCCATCACTTTTGTCATATCAGTTGGTTAGAAACAAGTCACGGGTTCCTGCCCACACTTGAGTAGAGCCGCTACACAAGGAGGAGACGGCTGGGAGGTAGACCTTGTTGGCAGCCGTCTGGGAGCCGGCCTGGGCACACACTCTGCTGCCAGCCTTCCCTCCTTCTCTCTGCTGCCGCCATCCTACTTGGATCCTGCATTAGTTCTTGTTCAGATTATTGCACTGGCCTTTTAGCTTGCTTTTGTACATCTTTATTGTTTCTGGTCTGTTTAACATTTATGATTTATATTCTTAAATTACGGCTCTTAAGCTTTATCTTGTCCCCAAACTGTTGGTATTTCCTCATTGCTTAGTAACTAAATTCAAATGTCCCTCCAGCCTTTCATTCTAGACTTTTCTCAGAATGGCCCCAGGTTTTCTCCCTGATAGATTTTGCTCCTCCTTATCATCTGCTTGAAGCTGACGTTCATTTATATATATATTTTCACACACATACATTTGTATGTATATTTTAAAGATTTATTTATTTATTTGAAAGAGTTACAGAGAAAGGACAGACATATCTTCCATCTGCTGGTTCACTCCCCAGATGGCCACAACAGCCAGGGTCCAGGAGTTTCTTCCAATTCTTCCACATGGGTGCAGGAGCCCAAGTACTTTGGCCATCTTCTGCTTTCTTCCCCAGGCTATTAGAAGGGAGCTGAGTTGGAAGTGGAACAGCCAGGACTTGAACCAGCACTCATATGGGGTGGCAGTGTCTTGGTGGCCCTGCAGCTGACATTTTAATGAAAGGATACTATATTTAGCTAAAGTTTGTGTAAACCACTAGGTTTTCCTACTTCTGGTATAACTGCCTTTTCTATCCTAATGTCCCCCCCTCCATACACAAAGATAGTCTTTCAAAAGCTATACTGTTAATAAAGCCTTTGCTAATCTTTTAAACAGATGGGAGCGTTGCTAATTTTTAAATTAGCATTTGAAAAAAAAAACCTTATAATTTAAAAGAATTCTTAATTATTTTAATTTTATTTGAAAGGCAGATAGAGAGAAAGTACTTCCAACCCCTGTTTTATTCCCTGAATGCCTACAACAGCTAGGGCTGAGCCAGGCCAAAGCTGGAAACGCAGGACTCAATATGGGTCTCCCACATGGGTGGCAGAAACCCAAGTACCTGAGCTGTCACTGCTACCTCCCAGGGTCTGCGTTCACTGGAAACTGGACCCAAGTAGAGTAGCTGACTTTGATACGGAATGCAGGCATCCCAAGTAGTGACTTAGCTACTGCTCCAAGTGCCCACCCCTGTACTTTGTGTATTTTAGATTTTTATTTATTTATTTGACATAGTTTCCGAGAGAGAGGGAGAGACACAGAGAGCGATCTTACATCCACTGGTTTACTCCCCAGATGGCCACAGTGGCTGTGGCCAGGCCGAAGTCAGGAGCCAGGAGCTTTATCCTGGTCTCCCACATGGGTAGCAAGGGCCCAAGCATTTGGGGCATCATCTGTTGCTTTTCCCAGGTCCATTAGCAGGGAGCTGGATTGGAAATGGAACAGCCAGGACATGAACTGGCACCCACGTGTTGCAGGCGGTGGCTTAATCTGCTCCATACACCACAGTGCTGTCTCCCCACCTCTATAATTTTTAACATAAATTTATACGTGGCTCTTCTTTCTCTTTGATACAGGGATTACATTTGTATATATGTTTATATTATATATTTGTTTATGTGGTATATGTATTATAACCGTATTTCTTGAATATGTTGTGTTTGTAACTTTATATCCCAAAATCCCTGATCTAGTGATTATGGGAGGCAGTACACAGTTGTTTGTGAAATAAGATAGACCATTTCTTAAAGTCAGTGAATTAGATCAGGCTTAGAATTGTATAATTTAGGGACTAACCTTGTA